CATGTATAATACACATTCTGAGTATTTTACTCTGATTCATTTTCAAGAAACTCCATTTGCAAACTTCCCATTGCAGTTAATACAGTAACCCAAATTATAGTGATACCATCTTTTAACTCTTTATAGTTACTTAATAATAGAGATGTTAACGAACGTGTATTTGTGTAAATGTGTAACCACTGGATTTTTAGCTGTTACACATTTACATGAAAGGGGGACAGGCAGAAGCCAGTGCTCGTGGCTTTATATCAATGGTGCTGCTTCTGCCTTTCTACAATAGTATAACATAATGATATTTGTGGTTGGTAATCTCTTTTGAGTGGCAAATTATCCACATTTTCAAGGTGCTCACATACTGTTGTCTGATTGTTAACTCGTGCTTCCTTCATCTGCTTGTTGTATCCATTCTTTGTGTCTCATTTTACTCTGAGATCTGATGAAGTGGGTTTTGCCCACAAAAACTCGTGATTCTGTATATTTTGGTTACTCTCTAAGGTGCCACAGGACCACTCTTTGTTTATCAACAGGTCATTGTGACTGTTCGATATTTATAATTTGAACTGTTAGAAACAGTTCACATAGTGTGTTTCTGTTCCCGGTCTGGGAGGAATGTAACCTTAGAGCCAGGATTCTAGTGTGAACATTCACAATTACAAGTCCATAGTTCACATTCTGTGCATATTTCGCAATAGTCATTTAAAGCTGCTTGTTTCGGAAAACATTCCTGTCAGTGTATTAACTTTGTAGAATTGTCACAGGAAGCTAATATGTGATGTAGGTGGTGGAATGGAAATTACTCTGCAAATAGAATGTTTGCTTCTGACCAAACAGATTTAAATTTCTCCCAAATCATAAGTAAAGGCGTCTGAGTCTGTTCCGGTTTTATACTTCTTTTTAAAATCTTGAAAAACCTTATGATTTCTTATGTGGAGTTTATTATAAAAATCAGAAGTCCTATAAAGTCAATTTCAGTGTAATTCCCAGTATTCAGACTTGAAGTAGGCTTAGCAGGATGTAATATTTTCACTTGCCAAATATGTAAACATACCCATGATCTGATTCTGCAATGACTTGACATGGGAGTAGTTCAAGGGAGCTGTGCACAATGCATAAAGTTAAGCCGATCCCCATGACTCTGCAAGATCAGGATAATTAGCACTTATTTTTTAGAAGGCAAAGTCTCTGACCATAACAACAGACGTGTGCTAGAGTCACTGAGTCCCACTTCAATAGCCATATCAGTGCAGACATGTTGGTATTTAAAATGGTTATGATTGTATCCAAAATATATTGTCTTCTGAAACTGAGATGCCTTAACTGCATCAGCCTGATCAGCCATTGGCTTGGAGGAACTTTGGCTTTTTTCTGGGAACTTGTACTATCTGTAGACAAATTATAAAAAAACAACAAATGGTCAGGTAGCACTTTATAGTCTAACAAAACATATACAGGCAGTCCCCGGGTTACGTACAAGATAGGGACTGTAGGTTTGTTCTTAAGTTGAATCTGTATGTAAGTCGGAACTGGCGTCCAGATTCAGACACTGCTGAAACTGACCGCCAGTTCTGACTTACATACAGAATCAACTTAAGAACCCCAGGCGTCCCCAAGTCAGCTGCTGCTGAAACTGATCAGCAGCTGATTCCAGGAAGCCCGGGGCAGAGCAACTCTGCCTGGGGCTTCCTGTAGTCAGCGCTGGTCAGTTTCAGCAGAAGCTGACTTGGGGACGCCTGGGGCAGAGCAGCTGGGGTGCTGCTGGGTTGCTCCAGTAGTGCCCAGAGCGGGCGCTGCAGGACCAATCGGCAGCGCCCCAGCTGCTCTGCCCCAGAGTCCAAAACAAAAGCCTGGTCTGCTGGGGGAGGGGGGACACACTAGCTGCGGAGTTTTTCCAGGATACTTCAGGTAGCCTAGAAAAACTCTGCAGTCTACACATAGCCTCAGTTCAACATGAGCATTCGCTAGCAGAACAGAGTGACCAATATCAAGGATCTTCAAAGAGCAAACACAACCAATATTGAGTAAATATTACTGAGAGCACAACCTAGGTGGTCCAGAGATGTCATAAGAATGGAAGGGCAATGGCTCCTAAAACAGATCTTGTATGGGGAGCTGAATCCAGCAAAAGAAAGCAGGGTTATTCATGTAAAAAGCAGCCTCCAGTTGACCAGCACCAGTCTTAAAGAACTTGAGCAAGTGGCTCACAATATGACTGGTGGTCTCTGACAAGATTCATATATAACAGATTTGAGAGGGATCAACAAATTCATCTTCAGGCTGCACGTGAAAGACACCAGAGCTGCATCAGATATCATAAACACAGACTTCCCATGTCCTCAGTGAAGCTAACTCTGTGCATCAGGGTTCGGACTTCAGAGTCATTTGTGTGGCCGTAGAAGAGAACTACTACAAAATATCATCATTGTCAGTGATGGACTGCCAACAGTAGTGAGTGTTCATGGACCATATTTTCAGCGCTCAGACCCTGATTTCGAAGAGCTCCACACACACAGTTTCCAGTGAGATTTTTAAAATCTGAAGAGGTGGGCTGTGCCCGTGAAGCGGATGATCGCATCTATATGTTTTGTTAGTCTATAATGTGCTACCAGACCATTTGTTGTTTTTTTGTAATTTATCCTGTACAGACTAACTTGGCTACCCCCTGAAGCTATCTATAGACAGTGGGAACATGACAGTTTTCTACCAAGTGTTTACAAGATGTAAACGTGAAGGAAGGAGACTAATAGTTTAGGGTTGTACAAGGGGATATAACCAGGAGTGATGGAATATAATTAAGATGTAGACTATTTAGTAATAAATGTGTGGGGGAAATGTGATTTCTAAAATCCATTTGATGTGGCATATTTGTCCAAGGAAAGTGCCGTAGACTCTTTTACCTAGGGCACGTATTCTCAGATTCCAAGGCCAGAAAGGATCCTTGTGAATATGACCTTAGGCTGTAGGACTGCCCTTCCCCTTGAATTCTTAGAGCATCTTTTTTGGGAAAACTTCCCACCCAACCTTGATTTAAAAATTGTTAGTGGGGGGAATCCACTACAACTCTTGGTAAACTGTGCCAGTAATTAATTACTTTCACCATCAAAAATGTACACTTTATTTCCAGTCTGAATTTGTCTAGCTTGAACCTCCAACCATTAGAACATGTTATGCCTTTGGCTGTTAGATTGAAGATTATTAAATATTTTTCCCTGTCTAGGCACTTACAGACTGTAATCAAGTCACCCCTTAACCTTTGTCTTGTTGAACCGTTAGTGACATTGTACAAGGCAATGGTAAGCCAGCCACCCTTGGAATACTGTGTACAATTCTGGTTGCCCATGTTCTAGAAAGATCAATTTAAATTGGGGGCAGGTGCAGAGAAGAGCTACTAGGATGATGAGGGGAATGAAGGACTCATTTTACGAGAAGATCTTGTTTAATCTAGCAAAAAGAAAGCTGAGAGCAGATATAATTGCACTCTGAAAATGTATCAGAGTAAATACCAGAATGGTGAAGACCTATTTATGCTAGAGGACAATGCTGTTGTAACTGCCACAGGGCAGATTTGTACCTGGGACCTCTGGAGCTTAGTGTAGGAGCTTTCACAGCTTGAGCTATAAAGCCAGCTGGCTCTTAGCTTAGCCTGTAGAGCTCACTTATTTTTATCTCTCACTGTAAGCGGTGTAAATGCTACTGCATGGGATAATGAACTACATCCGCTATATGTGTGGGTTACACTGGCACAAGAAAAAATCAATATAATCTGTCAATAAACAAATTCAGATTTGAAGTCAGAAGATAGTGTCTAACCATCAGATTTGTGAGGTTCGGGGACAGCCTCCCAACAGGAGTTATGAGGGCGAACAACTTATTTAGTTTTTAGAGAGACTGGACACATTTCTGAATGGGGATGTATGATCTGGATATATCATGTAATCATTAGCCCCTCACTGCAGGGGCCACTGGCATTGGTGTATTGCAATCCCTCTGCTTGTGCACATAATAGTTTAGTCTCCAGCGGGTAGTAATATTTTGCTCTAATTTAGGTTGTTGGATTTAAGGAGCAGATGCTAGTGGCCTGCGCTAGCTATACAGACCTAATAATCCTAGTGGTCCCGTCTGGCCTTAAACTCTGTGACTCTAAGCTAGATGTAATGAGCTCCATGAGTCACTCATTATAAGATGTTTTCTTATCCTTTAAACATCCCTGTAGATGTTTTCTGAACCCTCTCCCATTTATCAATAACCATGTTGAATTTTGGATACCAGAACTAGATGCAATAGTCACAACAGTGCTGAATACAAGGTATACTCTTTCTTCTGCTTGAGATTTCCCTGTTTGCGCCTCAGGATTGCATTAGCTGTTTTGGCAACAACATTGCACTGGCACTTCCTGTGCAGCTGATTAGTCAATATGACTCCCAAATCTTTTTCAGAGTCACTGCTTCCCAGGAGAGAGTGCCCCACCTTCTAATCCTGACCTACACTCTTTTTTCCTAACTGTATACATTTATGTTTATCCATATTAAAACACACATTGCTAGTGCCAAGCTCATCCAGTGATCCAAATCATTCTGTATGCATGACTTGTCCTCTTCATTATTTATCACCTCCCAATATTTATATTCTATGTAACCTTACCATTGATGGTTTATGTAGGACTGGAAAATATAGAACAAAATATGTGCTGGAGAACAACTTTGTGCTAACAGGGAATGCAATAGATGATCTAATATGTCTTTTCTACCTTAGACTTGTATGCATATACTTGAGAGAAAGTAGAATAGCTAATATTGGGTCTGCTCATCTGCATGTATGTGTGGCTTACACCTGCATGTCATTGCAATGCCTTGATAATACTACGTGCCTTTACCCTACAGGAATGAAATTTTCCTCTTGGCATCACACTGTTTATTTTTGGATGGATCTTAGAGACCATTTATTCAGGTCTATTTTTGTTTAAACACAACACTGAGGGTTGTTTTTATTTCTGTTGTCTTTAGAGAGAAGAATCCAATGTTGGACTGTCTTAGACCTTATACTCAGTGCAGCTTCAGAGAGCAATTTGGTTTATCTAACCTGAAGAGGAAACGTATGGACAACAAGTCAGGAGGACATGGGCTTTCAATGCACTTTAAAAAATGATCAGGTATCAGAACTGGTTTGAGTTAGTTTGTATTAACAATATGAGTAATATCAACTGATATGAATTCAAAGAGTGCAATTTTTTGTAAACGTGGTCTTTAATTTCCAGGTATATTTACTTGTCCTTCTGAAACAATGGCTGCCTCCTATTCCTCCTGCACTTAGACATTCTAATACGTAAATTACATATTTTGTTGTTATATGAGCTATCGTGTACATGATTAGGGCTCCATTTTAATAGGACTCAGTTGATGTGGATAGGGAGAGACAAGCAGTTGGGTGCCCAAAGCCTGGGGGTACACTTTCAACTGAAGATTTTTGTCTGGTATTTTCAGATACAATTTGAACACTCTGAGCCATTTTGGACCCCTCGCTGATCATGTATGTTATGGCACAGCTTTGGGATGTAGGGCATTTTTCCACTTCACTTTTCCTGGAAGCTACTGTTCTCTAATGCATCTTTAGTAACAGTAAGTCCATGTCTTTTGAACCTCGAGCGTATGGCTGCTGGGAAAGAGGACTCTGCATCTTCAGCTAGTGTAGAATACACTGGTTCACTTCTTGAGATGGGCAAGTTAGGAGGATTTACATTGGCTGTTTTTCTGGAGCAGCTCAAGGTGTTCGTTTATAATCTAAAGCAGCAATGAGTAACCAAAAATAGGGAGTGGCCCACATGAGTGGCCTTCCTTTACCTCAGTTGGCCGCAGCAACCTCCCCCATCGGCTCTCCTCTCCCATGTGCAGGGTAACCGGAGTCCCAAACTTGTCACTCTTCCTCCTAGTACTTTCTGAGCATGCATATCCCTTGCTTCACTTTCCGTCCCCACTCTAATCTAAAGCAGCAATGAGTAACCAAAAATAGGGAGTGGCCCACATGAGTGGCCTTCCTTTACCTCAGTTGGCCGCAGCAACCTCCCCCATCGGCTCTCCTCTCCCATGTGCAGGGTAACCGGAGTCCCAAACTTGTCACTCTTCCTCCTAGTACTTTCTGAGCATGCATATCCCTTGCTTCACTTTCCGTCCCCACTCCTTGGGGAGAAGGTGAGGGGGGCCCTGGGGCTGGATTACCTTACCTGGCCATAAGGGAGCTGTGGGTCGTCTGTGCAGGGGCACTGCTCCAGGGGTACCAGCAGCAGTGAGAGAGACCCCCTGGCTTCTTCCCAGAGGCTTCTGGCAATAGGGTATGCCAGGGATGCCCAGCACACGGCTCCCCTACTGCCGGCCCCTTTAACCAGCCTGCAGTGCTGCCTCACCTGACTGCATGCACCCAGCCAGCTCCTCCTGTAGCAACGGGCCCAGCTGGGAGAGCACTTTGCAAGTGCTCCCCCCACTCCACTCCCCACCAGGCTCTTACTGGAGTGGTGCCCCAGGCCACACCCCTTTACTTTCACCTCCTGACTGACAGTGGAAAGCCTGCGTATCTGGGACTTCCTGCCGCCAGCTCTCCTATTTGGTAAACTTATGGAGTAACGTGAGGCCTGTTTGTTTGGCTAAGTTAGTGGTTCATTTTATTATGAGAAGGGGTATTTATTAGCAAGCTGAATTACAGTTATTTTTCTGGGTGTAATGGGCCCCTGCTCTGTGGTGGTAGAAACTGGTGGGTACTTGAATGTGGTGTTTTTGAACATTTACATGAATGCTCTTGGTTTATTACAATTTAATTTCTTAAAGGAATGGCTAAATGTAGCAATCCCTTTTTTTAACACAACAAATGGGCCAATTATTACTTACTCTGGAAAGCTTTTCTACTATAACAATATTGTGATAATTTCATGTCTGATCCATTGGGGCAGTGATGGGATAGACATACTATCGCTTACAACATTTAAATCAAAACTGAGGGGCTTTCAGAAAGCCATTGCATGGTACAATGACAAGTTGTGCTCAATGCAGGAATCATTGGGTGAAATTCTCTGGCCTGCTACCTTCAGGTGTTCTGACTAGATAATGTTAATGGCCTCTTCTGACCTTAAAATCTATTAAATCAGCTTTTGTCTTGTTAGTCTGCAGAGTGAATCTGTGTAGTCTGCTTTAGGAATAAGTTGTTTCAATCTTTCTTTTCTCAAAGGAAAATAATTCTATAGTCTAATTTTTTTTCAGATGTGCCTGCATGTGCTCTAATATTTTGTAATGCATATGGGGATTGGTGTCTTTAGCATCTATTCAGTACAGGATGAACCTATCTAGTCTGGCATTCTGATCCAACACATCCATGGTCCAGCATGATTTTAGTTAGTCTGATGGCCACTTATGGGTTTGGCCAAGTTTACCACAGTCCCATAAAGTTTGTTTATGGCCACCAGTCTTGGCTCTCAGTGTTCTGTGCTGTTGTTTAGCTTTAATTTACCCCTAAATGTCCTTTAAAAGCCCAGTAAGCAGTGGAAGTGTTGGCAATGCTGCTAGACATTATTGACCTCCCATGGTTTGGCAAATTCTCTGTTCTGGCACCGGTCAGGTACCAAAGGTCCTGGACTAGAGAGGTTCAACCTGTACTACATGTTGATTAGGCAGTGATACCGTGTGAGCATATGATACCTGTTAAATCAATATCATAGTTTTAGTCTTTAATATTCAGCGTTGTCTATTTTATATTTTGAAAATGAAGTAAAATAATTGTTTAAAAATAAATAATTGGGATCTGCAATTATGAGATAATGATTATTGCTACATAAATGCTCAGGTAAAGTTGCTGTATATTTTCAATGTAGGAGATACTTAGCAATAGAATGATAGCTATTTGATCATTATACTAAATAGGTTGAGTTTTAATTGCTTTAGGTAACAGACTTGTTTGATTCAACCAAAAAGAGAGCAGGTTAACTTTAAAATAAAATACATATTTTTGAAAGCATATTTTGATTGCCCAGCTTCTGTCTGTGAAGTTCCATTATAAATCATTCAGTTTTAATAAAGGGAGGTTAGCCAGAAAGCAATGTGAATTGCAGGCACATGTCCTTTGCGGATGTAACAAAAATGTGTACAATAGATGTATATACTTCAGGAATTAAAAACAGAGGAACACTTCTATGAGAGCAGTGCATCTCTGTTTTCTGTGCCTATGTTCACTGACATCTTTCCTGGCTTTGCCTTTTAATTGTGAGTGATGTAAGCAGTTTTATTCTTTTGATTAGTGTACAAGAATAAGCATAATGTGGAAAACTTCCATTTCTCCTAGGTATGAGCCTGCAAAATGGTTTTTCTAATAAATGTTCTCATTTACATGTCAGCATGAAATTCTTGAGGAAATGTTACTTCATGAAGAGAATATTATTCCTTTACATTTAGCATTCTGTAAGTAATCAAGGTTTGTGGTTAAGATGGACTCTTTTCACTGGAGAATTATAATTATTTCTTGGGTTGAAACTAACTTTATGCTGGTGAAAGCAATCAGGTATTTAAACTAGAGGCCTGAACCTACCCAAAACTGGTCTTGGTTTATCTGTCCAATGATCCTTCCATTCATCTGTAATGATTTTATTTCTTAATATTTTCTGTTAGTAGAATATCCTTATTGAGTATTCTATGCATGGTAAGTGTGAAATTGGAAAGGGGGGTGTGTGTGTGTGTGTGTGTGTGTGTGTGTAATATATATCTATAAGGGAGACTGTTCTAATAGCTGCTTTGTCTCCCCTGCTCCTTCTTTTACAGGTGCCTTGCTTTGTCTACCCTGTGAAAGAGTTGTGAAACTTCTAGGATTAATGCAGCCAGCTCACATGTTTTAAGCACAGCTGCCATTGATTCCATTAGTTGCCAAGTTTTTTTAGTACTGGACCGTATTTATATTCTACACAGGGGTATGTGTGCTGCATGCATCCAAGATCAGAGATTTGTAGCCAGTAGCATCTGTTGATCTGTGCCTGCGCAGTAGCTACCCTCATGCTCTGAACCAAGGATATAAGAGAGAGTGCTGTGCCAACCAGCACCTCTCCTGTTCCTTCTTACCGGCACCTTGCCTGAGTCAGAATCCTTTGTGTCCTAAGTGATTCTCGCTGTTGTACGCAGTTTTAGCATTCTTAGTACTAGTGGTTTATTGTTAACTTTGTTTCCCCACCTTGTAGAGCTTCTCCCCGTGGACAAGGAATATGTCCAGAGTTTTGGGGTTTAAAACTTTCTCTTGATCTGCTTCTTTTCCATTAGCAAAAACCTACCAGCATTATCTCTGCTGCTTTGGGGAAGCTCACATTGCCCCTAAGCGTAGCATGTTGCTTCTTCCTTCCCTGAACCCATGAGGGATAACAGCTCCATACGAGAAAACACCTCATGGAGAAGGCCATGAGACACCGGTCAGATCAAGGCTGGGGGACCTCCCCTTTACAGCAGTCTCATACTAAAGCAGTGCCCCTTCAAGCATGCCCTCTGGAGCAGAGGCAGGGTTCACAATGCCTAAAATTCGCCGAGGGGAGAGAGGGACGTGTTCAGAGGCACGAGGACAGAGCCTCTTCTAGATTTGTCTCTTAAAAAAAAAAAAAAATCTCTCTCTCTCTCTCTCTCTCTCTCTGACTCTGTCCAAGTCAGGTGAGTCCTTGCATACTGGTCTGCCTAAATCTTTCAATCAACAAGGGAAGGCATAAAAGAGAGAGGTTCCATTGGGTAGGTAGAAGGATTGGCACCCGATGGCTGTGACTGGGAACTCCACATGGAACACCTCTCTAACAATACTGCTGTGCTGAACACTGTGTCCTTGAATACACAGGCTTCATTGGCCATGATCCCCAGACTCCTTGAGTTTTGGGACAGACTGGACTTTTATCTCATCAGACGATATCTTTGCTTTACCCTATCAGCAATCTCTCTTCCTATGAGTCCAATCCTCCTTGGAGACATTTCAGCTCCAGAAAAAACTACCTCCATTCTTGCCTTAGTGCCATCAATGGACTGTGAGCTGACCGTTTCATTGGATGGGACTTCACTTCTGAGGGAGGCCACCTGGCACAGAACCAGGTTGCTTTGGAACCTCTCTCCTCCCAGACATGGCCACCCAGGAGACTGATGGTACCCAGTGCCT